TCAGCTCTTTGACCTGAGGTGTTGCGTGTGTGATTCGAGACCAGAGCTTCTCTTTAGTGGTATGGCTTCCAAATCTTGCAGTCTGTCTGCTGTGGGCAAGTAGGATTAGAAAAATAATATTGGGGGGGGAGGGGAAGGTCAGCAGAGGAAAAGGAACAAAGACAGTGAAGTAGCAGTTTCCCTCTCCTGAAGGGAAGAGGCTTAAAAGAAGTGAAACAGTTTTTGCGTGTTTAGTTCTTTCAAATGGCAGTGCTCCATCAAACTTAGGATTTGGGTGTTTTAAGCAGCTGTTGTTTGGTCTCCAGGATAGAGAAAGCAAAGGGCATAATGTCCTTAGATGCTTATGCTGGCATTTTAATACAAATGCCTCACTGAGAAGGCAGAGGGACTTGGCTTCTTTAGATGAGCAGGTGAATGAGGCTACTGTGGGTGGAAGAAGAGGAAGACCTTTTACAAGAGTGTCTTTGCTCACCTGCTACCAAAAAAAAACTAAAAAAAAAAAAAAAACAAAAAAACCAACCCACTTCACCCACAAAAGAAAACTTAGTGTCTTTGTGGTGGGGAAGAAAAGTAAAAAGATTTTTTTTTTTAAGTCTGGTTAATAATTGAAGAATCGTGTAGAAAGAAGAAAAAAAAAAAAGAACATTACACTCAGAAACAAAACTAAGAAAAAATACGTTCTGCGCTTCAAGCAGAGTATGTTCTGTCATAGGAAACAAATTGGCACAACTGTGGAAGGAAAAAAAAGTTTTAAAAGAGGGGTAGGACAGCTTCTTGCATCTCTAACTGTAGTACTTCGTAAAATGTCCAGATACAGCAAACGCTGCATAATGGTTCTTTTAAAATATGTGGCATATTTTTTGTGCATTCTCTGAAATTCAGAGTTTGGCATTTTGAATGTTTTAGCCTGAATTTGTAGTTTTAGTATTGGCAGGGTCTCGTGACATGCTATTTTTTTATTTGTATCAAAAATGTAACTTTGACAGACTGTGCTGTATATGATGCACAGTAACCATCATGAAAAGTGTAATGGTTCATGTAATGTATTTATAATAGGCATTTAGCTGCTGTGATAATAAGCACTGTACAATCAACAAAATGGTATAGCGACGTTCTGTGTGCTTTTCAAATTGTACAAAATACATCTGAATTGAGACAGAAATAGCAACTTTAGTTATAGCTACAGTACAAATGATTCATACAGGTGACTGAGGAAGACTTTCAGAGTTGTCAAGCTGAAAACTGGCAGTTTAGGTTTTTCTCTTATAGGGACTTTTTTGGAGATAATGTACTGTCACAGAGGGGTGTTTTCCTAGTCTAGGGAAGTGGCATGTGCATGTTCACTTCCATGCGTCTCCTTAATGCTGCACATTTTGAGTTTAGGTCCTGCTGTCTGCCAATTTAAATGTACTGCTGCATCAATAATGTCATGTAATAAGCCTGCCGTCAGATTGTTTGAAGTTCAGTCTTCCTGGGTGCCTTAGGGCCCTATTAAACTATTCTAAATGCACGTTTTCAAAAAGTAAATATAGATGTAGAGGATTTCTGTTAGGATTTGTCATTAGATCAATTAATTATTAAGTCTATGCAACAGTTTTTGGTTACTTAGTGATGACTGATGGGGATTTTAACCAACGTACATCTGCGTGCCTCCATCAGTACCCCAAATTCTTAAATGTTAGGTGAGTATAGCAGTTCCTGAGATGGCTTGCCCTTCCTCACGCCCAAGTGAACGAGCGAGCCTTCTCCCAGGAGCGGGGGGGCGCAGCTCTGCACTGATGTGACTCAAGAATCTGCAGACACAGAACCAACTCAGGGACTGGTTCCTTAATCACCTTAATCTGATTTAACTGCAGGCTGCTGCCAAAAGGAGTGGCGGCACCCTGCCCAGTGCCTCCGGCTGTGTATTCCACTTGCGGTTCAGTTGCTGTGAAGCAACTACAGGACTTCACCTCTGTATCTCTGCATTTTGGAAGGGCTGATGTAAGGCATTAATGAAAATTGTCCTAAAGCAGAAATTCCTGCTATATTTATCTTCAGTAATTCTTATACTGCTATTCTTCAGCTCCGCCACAGATCTTTCAATTCATTCAAATCTGTATTCATTATAAATAACGTAACAACTGCACTATTCTATTCTAACTCAGTCTTGAGATGAGGGTGCCAATAATGATAAATTCTGTAAAAATGGGACTTCAGCTGTGATCTACAAAGTTACTTTCCTTCACAATGAGTTCAGATTTTACATCTGTGCTTCCATATGTGTCATTGACTTCTACTATACATCTTAATTTACCAGTTCATGAAAAAACACCGGTAGTTAAGTGTGAACACTGGGAGTCTTTTAATGAAGATCTTGATGATTCTAGGAAATTCAGAAAGCAGTTGGAAGTAGGTCTGCTTTGTTGGGAGCATGAAGCATGCCTAGATTGTGCAGCTCCCTGAGGCAGCGTCTTTCTTTTTATGGCCTCACCATGTTTCCTCCGTCCATAGAGCTACCAAGAAAAACCTTATGTTGTAGAATACTTGAATAGATCCTAATGGGATTCATATAGCATTTAAATATTAATATTATAAAATGTCAGGAATTAAATATAAGGAGAATTAGGGGAACAACCAGATTAGGTGATATACTGCTTTGACTTGGGAGGACATACGCTGTCATTCTTAAATGGTGCTATAAGTTCATAGCTAAAAGATTACTCCAGTCTTTGAGATGGTAAAAGTATTTTGAATGTTTAAGGTCTGTTTTGAGGATTTGTAAATGCTCCAGAAGTTCCCTGGTCATGACACTTGGAAGCATTGGTCGGTTGTTACTCCAATCAGTGTCAGTACAGGTTAAGTTTCACTCCCCCTTTCCTAGTTGTGTATGAAAGACAGTGGAATGGCTTGAGGTAGGTGTTCCAACAAAAACATGACAAAGAATAGCCAGTGAAGAAGCAGCAAACGTCTTGTTTCTTTCCCCTTTATATCGTGCAGGGGCAGAACTTCGACAGTCTCCCATGTGAACGCAGATGGTGGTGGTGGTGTTCTGGTGTTGACGTCAAAGTATTAATCTGGTGTTCTGTTGAAAAAAACCCATCAGTCTCTGCCACTCTGTATGGAAAGACAGAAAGATACTACTCAGGTGTAGATTGGTATTAAAGATTATATCCTTCTTGTCTGTTTATTTGTTTTAAAGAACAGGCCCTTTCTCCTAGATCAGGCCAGGTTGAAAAGTGAGTTGGTTGGTTGTGCCACTTAACAGCATGGGCAGGACTAGTTCTGCTGTGGTGTGGCCTTTGCTGGGTGAAGGGAGACAGGGGTTCTTGAGGCACATTGCCCTGGGGCACAAACTTCACTTTAAATGTCACTTTAAGGTGAGTAAAAATAGTTTCCCGGAAATTTTAGAGCATAAAGAAAATTTTCTCAGAAGGAACTCTCTTATTCGACACAGAGCCCTACAAGGAATGGCTTGCTTTGGCAGTGGTAGCATAGTTTTACTGAGAATTTGTGTATAACTGGACTTGTAATTGTTGCTCTTTATGTTCTAGCCGCTATTTGAAAAGAAGTATGTTTTGATAAGTGAAGACTTTTTTGCATAGTGTCTGTTTTTACCACAGTCTGATGGTATATATGCTGAATATAACAAAATAGCTGAGATAGTATCTGAAAGTAGGAATAATCAGGGGGATGCTGTCATGTGCTGGGGGAAGGAGGGTTCTGAGCTTAGCTCTGCTGCAGGAGAACACTTTTTACTTTACTGTTTGTTTTTCAAAACAAGATAATAAACATAGCCTGAGCAGATTGCACCAAAGGCTGACTTAAGAGCCATGAGTGAAGAATTCTGCTCAAAGAAACAAATACATGTTAACTGAAAATGCTGAAAAACTCTACAAGTATGATAGTTCATTTTTTTGATTATGCTCCTCTAATGCTGCTCTTTTGTTAAAGAGACTTTTTATATAAGGGTAGGGATCTTGCAGGCAAGCAAGACAGTAAGAAAGCAGCATACTTGAAGACAATGTAGTTACATTAGATACTGAGGTTTGATACCATGGATTATTTTTTTACTGTTGTTTTTGATATATCATTGTTCTTTTTTACTTCCTGTTGCTTATTTTATGAGTCTTCTTTTGTCATACTTTTAGTGTAGATACAGTTACTGATGTTTGTGCTAAGGTGCTTGGTTTTGTACAGTTCCGTTTTTCCTTATGTTGTTAAAAACTGCAGGATTGAGCAGGATATGAGGCTCAGAAAAGTCTTTAGATATACATCTGAAGTAGCAGTGGGTCTATAGAAAATACTAAACTGGTAAATTACTAACAGGTAAATTGGGCCAATTTCAACATGGCCTTACTTGAAATTAATGGAGAAATATTTTGTTAGGCAACTCTGAATTTGGCACAATTTCTAATTTGTTCCGTTGGTGAAGTCTGTCTCTTCCCTTCCTCTACTGCTGGACGGTGAGCATGCTTGCTGTAATCTCTCTACCACTAGATGTTGCTGTGTGAGTGATTGATATAATCTTATCTGATACTGGATGGATTAATCTCTTAAGAAAAGGAGGAGAACTGCTGAAACAGTATTACTGCCTATTCTGAAATTAGTACTTGGAGATGTTTGCCTGAGACGTTTTTAAAATTTATTGGCTCTGTTGTATTAGTCATAAAGATTGTTTCTCTCTTGTATACCCAGCAGTATGCTAGTCATTATTTCCAATTAGGCAGGCTTTTCTTTTCATATGTCTGTAGAGCTCGTGGTCTTGGTAGTGAGGAAAAAGGCAACAAATGTAACTCAGCCAAAAAGGTTTTTGTAGGAACTATGTTCTGTGACATCTGTGGCTTTTCATTCGATGAAAGATGGCAGGGGAAGAAAATTGCTGTACATTCCAGCATGAGGAATAATCACTTTTAAGGGGAAATTTTTGTCTTTACTTCACTTTGGCTGTTTTCGAAGCACTACCTTTTGGTGAAGGATTATTTACCTCCTTGGGGTTTTGCTGTGTTTATTCTACACAGAAGTCTACAAATAGAAGAGCTCCATCAGGGTGAACTGAAGTTATCCTAAGGAAAAATTTAATTGCATGGATTGTGTAAACTCACTGAGACTGAAGTAAAGCTGGAAAGGAATCTACAAGTGACTAAAACAAGAAGTTTGGAATTGGATTTGGGGAATCTGGGCTTGGAAATGCCTCAGGTAAGTCTGTTATGATTTTATTTGCTTCTGTAAATAATTTTGCTTCCTTATTTAAGAAAAAAAGTTTAACAGCAAATGTGACTGGCATTAGCAGGGAGAATTTATAAGAGATTAAGTGGTGTATATTTTTGGGGTCCCAGTAGTGTCTGTGGTGGAAGCTATGTTGCTGATCTTGGTACTGTATTTGTTCACACAGCAGGATTCAGCAAAGTTGTCGTCTTGATGAGGGTGGGTGCCTGGAGAGCAGCCTTTTATTACTGCCGTGATTCACACATCAGCACACTGAATGACTTTCAGCAGTGCAGTGTTTCTCCCTTCCCAGCCCTCAGGGCAAGTGTGTCTAGAAGAGAAATAGAGGTCTGGAATTAAATGTAGCAGAAAGCCTTGCTGCCCATTCCCTGCATGCCCAGTCATCCTGCATAATGTTTTTTTGCAAAGTTCCACTTCGTTCTCGAGAGATGTAACACTCTTGATTTAATTGTAATAAATTTTGCTTTTGTTACAATCTCAGGTGGAAGTTTTATGAGTTCTAATGGTTCTAAAAACAGTCAACTCTGCTTTAGTACAAAATGGTTTGTATTAGGGTGAAGGCCCTGCAAGCGTGTAGCGCCTATTGATACTCACGGATCTTGCCAGTACTTGCTCTCCTCTTCTAAAAATGCTAACGTATCCCTAAACTTGGCAAACGCATGAGAATTTCAAACCAACAAAAAAAGAATGAATGAGCAATGCTCTTGCAGCTATATGATGAATACAAATGTGTCCTTTGATTAAAGAGCTGCATGTTGTTCGCTGCTCTTAAAGCATTCTCTCGCTCTGAGAAATTACATGCTTATCTGTGTAGGTAAAACCTTCCAGATGCAAGTATAGCACAAGTTCAGAGACTTGGATGAAATGGCAATACTCTTTATGTTTTGTTGAAGAAAAGAATATGCCTTTTTATAGCATGCTTCAAATGTCAGTATCAATTTGTTGTAGCCCAGTGTGAGTGGAATGGACCCTCCTTTTGGGGACGCCTTTCGGAGCCATGTGTTTTCAGAGCAGACTCTGATGAGCACAGATCTCCTGGCAAGCAGTTCAGATCCAGACTTCATGTATGAACTGGTAAGTCATCTTTCTGTGTGTGTACATAACATCCTCTCCTTGACTAATACCCTGACTTCGTGCAGTAATAAAGGGGTATTTGTTCAAGAATGCTAGAAGATTATTCATTACTTCTAGCTACTGATTACGGAAGAGCCTAACTGCTTGTCCAGCAAATATGATGCCTCCTCAATAGACGCTTGTTAAAGCTGGCCATCAGGAGAGGCTTGATATACAAGTCTCAAATAAAGCTGTGTTGACATTATGTAATGGTGCTTGAGACTCTTCCTTACAATCTTTTCTGCAAGAGCAGCTATATGCTACTTCACCCAAGCTGTGAATGCAGGGGAAGCAAAATAAAAGTTGACTCATGAGCTACTTATACTAGCATTCTTTTTTTTTTTTTTTTTTTTTTTCCCCTGCATCAGGGGAGAAAGGTAGCTCACAGTCATTAATTGATCATGTTAGAATGAGGTTTTCCAGGGACTGGTGAACTTGAGCATATTCTGTTAAGCACACAGCAAAGATTGACCTAGGTTAATAGAGACTAGAACAGCTTGCCTGTGATGTCTTTCATATTTTAAATACATGGATATTGGTACTAGTCTAGTTCCTGATGACCAGATGAATTTGCAGTAGCAGAAAAAGAATCCAGCAGCATTTGACTTGTATCTTTAGCAATCTCTTCAGAAGGATCTGCTGCTGAAGCTTGGAAGCTGGACTTCGTTCTGACCCTCAAAAGAAGCTTTTAGGTGGAAGTTGAGGTATCTTCACTGCCTTACACTTCACTGGAATTAAGCTCACCATACTAGATTAAGTAGAGGACAGAGATGATTGATACTTTTTTGTACTAATTTTTAACTTGTCGTCTTATGCACAGGACAGAGAAATGGACTATCAGCAAAGCTCCAGAGACAACTTACTTTCAATGGAGGACTGCAAGGACCTTGAGAACTTGGAGTCTTTTACGGACATCTTGGACAAAGAAGCTGCTCTCACCTCAAAGTGGGAGCAGTGGGACACCTACTGTGAAGACTTAACTAAGTACACTAAATTAACCAGCTGTGACATCTGGGGAACAAAAGAGGTGGATTACCTGGGCCTTGATGACTTTTCAAGCCCATATCAAGATGAAGAGGTGATAAGCAAAACACCAACACTGGCTCAGCTTAACAGTGAGGACTCCCAACCTGTTTCTGATTCACTCTATTACCCTGATTTGCTCTTTAGTGTAAAGCAAAACCCTTTAAATTCTTTGTTACCTGGCAAAAAAATTGCGACCAGAGCAGCAGCCCCAGTCTGTTCCTCCAAGAACGTTCAGGCTGAGGCACCTCTGTCGGACTGTGTTCAGAAGGCGAGCAAACCTGCAACTCAGCCTGCTTCCAGTACACAAATCATGGTGAAGACCAATGTGTACAATAATGAAAAGGTGAACATTCATGTTGAATGTAAAGACTATGTTAAAAAGGCAAAAGTAAAGATCAATCCTTTACCACAGAGCAGACCAGTGCTGAGCCAGACGCATGCTGATGCAGCAAAGGAGAACACCTGCTATTGTGGTGCTGTAGCAAAGAGACAAGAAAGAAAAGGAATAGAGTCCCCGCATAGTCACAGTACGCCTCCTGTTTTGCCTTTTAAAGAGACTCAAGAACTGCTCCTCAGTCCACCCCAGGAAACCCCAGGGCTTATTGTGGGAGAGAGCAGTCTTTCTGCCAGCACTTCGGTGTCAGATTCTTCACAGAAGAAAGAAGAGCACAACTATTCTCTTTTTGTAACAGACAGTTTGGGTGAACAGTCAGCCAAAGGAGACCCCGAGGAAGATGAGGACGATGAGGACGATATTGAAGATGAGGACCATGATGAAGGATTCGGCAGTGAACATGAGCTGTCTGAAAACGATGATGAGGAAGAAGATTATGAGGATGATAAAGATGATGACATTAGCGATACTTTCTCAGAACCAGGTACCAGCAATGTTGGGCTTTTTTAACATGGAGGTTAATGGATTTGTATGCCAAGGGGGAAAGAATGCTTTTCAATGCTTTATAGTTACAGATGAGGAACGCTGATCTTAAATTATGATTTTTCATCCCAGATTTTCTAAGTGCTTTGCCAAATGTAATTAATGAAAACTATATAAGATCTCTATTGCCCTGTTTTGAGGAAAACTGCATAAACTGTGGTCATGCAACAAAAATAGTAATAGAGAATACAGGAAACCTAGCTTGTAGCCTCAGGTCATAGAGCAACTACCTGCAATTGTTGTCTTTTTTTGTGGCTTGATGATAGGATGTGCAGAGCTTTCTAGTGCCTCAGTAGGTTGCTGCTTTGAATTTATCCAGAGTTGTATCTCTCAATAGCTGCTATGAAATCAGAGCCTGAGGGAAATAATTTAATAATCACTTAAGTCCTACTGTAGGTACAGTTTTCCACAGAATCCAAAGAATACCTACCACTGAAACTAATAGAACTGTTTCTTGGTGGTTTGCAGCAGTAACACTTAGTGGGTCTTCAAAGGATACTGAATTCCTGTCTTCTGCATGTAGAAATGGAGCCTTAACAACAGAAATAAGAACTAACCTTCACCTAGAAGGTAACAAAGTGGTAACATTTAAAAATAAAATCTGAAGGGAAAGGGATAGGACTGTAACCAAGTATTAGTTTTATTGTAGAAAGTATTATAATATTCACTTTGTAGTAGAGTATAAGAATTAAGGTATTCAGACATTATGCAATACGTAACTTCGGGGGGAAAGCAGATGAAATTTTGCCTTTTTAAAAACAGCGGCTTCCCTAAAGCTTGTCAGTGTCTGTCATAATGAACTCTCAGATTAAATTATTTTCTAAGTAGATTTCCTGAGTTGGCATTAAACTTGTTAAGCATTATGCCTTTTATGTTACTTTTACATGTACATAACACATTTTTATTAGCATTTTAAAATCTCTTCCTCCCTCCTCCTGAACTGAACTCCCGCTACTTTCTGGGGCTTTGAGTAGCTATTACAGCTCAGTAATGATTGCTGTACTGCACAGTGTTGTGCAGCCCACGGAGACATGTTGCACAGAAAGCCTGGTAACCCTGAAAAAGATGTTGTATTAAAAAGCTGGGATTTCAGTTGGTGGAATTACATTAACTATTTGCCGTTTGTTCAAATTTTACTGGCAAGCAATCAGTGTCACCTTCTAAATACAGCTATGTCGTGCAATACAGTAGCTGAGGAACTTGGCTTATACAAGCTTACTAGAACTTTAAGTGAATGAAGCCATTCACCTCGAGTATGGTGATATTAAAAGTTTCACCATATGTTTTGATTATAGTAGAAGGTAATGTCTGCAGGTATTTTAATTATGTTACTCTTGTACTTTATGTTGCTTTTTTACCTTTAGAGTAAACGTAAATAGTGTGGATAAAGCTACTAAAAGTAGGCATGGTACAGGAAGATTTAACCTTCCATAGTACTGAAAGGAAAATCAGTTGATAAATGTAGAGTGAAGATATAATTTACTGAAAGGACAAAAACTTATTTGTTATCGCTGACCCTCTGATATATTTGATACACAGCTTGCATTTGTTTATTCTTCTTCATGTATGTTTTTGGAGTGCATGAAATGCTTTCTTAAAGTGTCAGTGTTGTCTGAGGAAATACTTAAGATGTAGTGAACTTCAGGAACTTGGAGAAATAACTAAAAATGTCGCTGGCTGTCAGGCAAGTTTGGGCAACAGTGTTTTTATTATCATCATGATACAGATTTAGCAATTTTTGTCACCTGCAAAGGTAATTTATTACGGGAATTACTAGCCCAGGCCTGTTCTAGCACTTTGACTTTTTTTGCCATTACTAGTATATTTTACCTATCTCATTTAATAGAAATACTTGTAAATGACTTCTTCTCCCATTAAGTAGTTAAGAGAGTCCAGAAATGGGAGTTGTAACAACTGATTCAGTTTTCAGTAGCACTGGAGAAGAAACAGCTGAAAGGGAAAAGTGCTTGTAGAGGCATGGAGATTGTTTAAAGAAGTTGCATTGCATCTATTCTGAGCACCTGGACCATCAGCTGGGGGAAAAAGACTCATAAATGCTTTGACAGAAGTCAGTATGATTAAATGGCAAAGAGAAGGGTTTTTCTGGTTTTGTTTTTAATCTAGTAAGATGCAGAAGTCATGTCTATCCTGTTCTCTGTTTTATTAATTTAACCCTGGTGAATTTAAACCTAAAACCATAGGATGTCAACAGAGATTTTTAGGAGGGACTTGCAAAGGGCTTGAAAGGTAAATACAAGAACCCTTTCAGATTTCTTAGAAACCCGCCAAAGAAAGTGAGACTGCTATATGATCTTTGCTAAGAGAAGAATTCAAGGAAGATGAATACAGTGCAGAAAAGCTAAACAGATTTGTTGCACTCCTGTATGTTATGGACTAGGTTAGGACATTGTGCACTAGATTATTCTCTGTAACTTTAAAATTATAGGAGGTCAATGTTAGAATTGCAAGGCAGGATGCATTAAGTCAACGTAATTTAAGTTGCTAACTTAATTATAGTTTAAATAAGCAAACAGGAAGTCTTGATTTTAACCTTGTCGTTTGTACACATCAGCTCTTAAAAAGATTTGTTTTCATCGGTTGGCTTAATTCTGTGTTATCATGAAGATGGGCTAAATTTATACATATCTATATAATGAGTTACATATCTTGACATGTTTTTTCAAGTGGAAAGTAAGTGGTTTTTTTAAGAGTATTTTGATACTTGGGTCAAACAGCATTTGGGTAAAATGGAAGTTCAGTTTAAAATATGGTATTTGAAAGTATAACGTAAATTGTCATAATCATTTTGGTTATACAAGAAAAAAGTTTTATAAAGCACGTTTCATTGTTTGATTTGCCTTTAAAATACTGTCTTTTTAATAAAGTAGAGAATCAAAGTAAATGAGTTGATGAAGTGATCAGAAACAGAACTTTAGAACTGATTTCATCCTTCTGCGCACCTAACTTTTATTCATACTTTGAGTTATGAGGTGAGAGTCAGACCAAAGCAAGAAAGTTTGGTTTTCCTCTTTCAGTTGTTTTTTCAAGTGCAAACAGACTAATTGAATGGACTGTTTTAAAAAGAAGAAAGTGTTCTTTGTGCTACTGTTAAAAGATGAAGCAGAGCTCAAGCATATGGGGTCAGGGCTTGTTAAGCTTACAGTCTGTTCAGTGGTTGGCTTTTCTTTAAGCTTCATCAGTGTATGTGATGTTTTGAAGTGCATTCTTTTATAAGTAAATGTAAACTATTATATAGCATTTTAGTACAAAAGAAAATGCAGTGGTTTGTGGCTTTTTTAACCTTAGTATAGGTTGTCTTTATTTTCTAAAGCATATGTAGGATTTTAAAAACTGTGGTTTGTGTTTACATAGTTATGGTATAAATATTTATGCAATGTGGATAGTGGCATTACAGTTTCTATGTACTTCATGAACAGTTCATCATATCAAGTGCATCATAATATACCTCTAAAATACTGCGTAGCTTTACTGCGGATCACTTCTCTTCATCCCACTAAAGAGGTGAGGAAGAGATTGAACGGCTTGTGTCCAGATCCCTTCAATTTAGATGGTCTTTTCTTACGGGCTTTAGGTCATTGTCCTGATGGCAGAGCCCCATTCCTCTAGTCTAATAGAGATGGGTGGTTTGATTTATTTCCCGAAGGTATTCAAACTCAAGCAAGAGCAGGAGTTGGACTCGATGATCCTAATGGGTCCCTTCCAACTGAGAATATTCTATGATTGAATAATTTTGCTTTCTTTATTAGTGTTTTGCTAATCCATCTTTATTATCTGCTTCTCTTTCCATGCTTTTTGATTAGAGGTTAATTAAAATGTGGAGGCGAGTTAGGATTATGTTCCTGCAAATTCATGGAGAAAATTGTTAAGGATGGAAGAACACTCTCCAACAGCTGTTGTCTGTACTCTGCAGTGGTGAGATTGTGGGGGAGAAGAGCAATAGAGCTTAAGGGGTAAAAGAACATAAAGGGGCTTTCACTGCATAAATAATTTGTCTCTTTTCAACTAATGAAGCACCATCACTGGCTCAATGTCTATCCCTGGATTTAAGACAAGTACCCAGTAGTAGTTGATGCTGAAAACCAAGTCTATTAGATAATGTAAAACAGGCCTTGTCTGTGGTTTTGCTCTTAACTTGAACACTCAGTCTACTGTTAAAGGGCTAGAAACGGTTTTGTCAACATTATATAAACAATGCAATGCATCCTTTTAGGGTATGAAAATGATTCTGTGGAGGATTTAAAAGAAATGACTGCAATATCTTCTCGGAAAAGAGGCAAGCGAAGATACTTCTGGGAGTACAGTGAGCAACTAACACCATCGCAACAAGAAAGAATGCTGAGGCCATCCGAGTGGAATCGAGATACGTTACCAAGTAACATGTATCAGAAGAATGGTCTCCATCATGGTAAGAATGGAGTCCTAGTTACGAGTGAATGCCTTTCATTCTGACACCTTCAGTAGCCAAACTCCCATCTTTGCAAGTGCTGAGAAGTTGTGTTTTGGCCATGAAAATAAATGATTAAAACACTGCAAGTCTGTTGCTCAGTTAGCAGAGTTCTGCGCAGTGTCCAAGGAAGGCACAGTGAACATACAGTAGTAACTTTCAGTGTGGTTTCTTCCAGAGGAAGGTGGATGAATTGAGAATTTTAACTTCCAAGGGCTTTCAGTAGAAACCCCAAGAGTTCGAAGTTTTCTCAGTGCGATGCTGTAAACATATTGGATGGGTCACTTGATTGATATTTGCTCCTCGTAGCTGTTAGTTTCAGTCTTGCTTGTGTTAGAAGTAAGCTGGAAGTGATCTGAGATGCAAAATTCACGTTAACTGCAGTATGAACTAAAGGACAAGCAGTAAGGCGCAACTGTCTCTTTTTGCTCCTCCCTACTTGTTTCTCCCACCTGTGTGAATGCAGCACAGTGAAGCACTTACTCTTCTGTGAATAAACTATTTATTTAAAATACCCTCTTAGAAACTTAACCCAATTGGTCTAATAACTGGGGTTTATTCCCATAAATTTTGATGAGCAATTTGCTGTACCTCACGCATGACTAATATCACACAGAACAAACCACTCTAAGGAGTAATGTTTGAGTTTTTGTCACAGGACCTCTTTGGTAGGCTGCTCCATTTGATTTTGGCTTTGAAGGAGAAAATGAAACCAACTTTCCTGGTTGTAACGTTAATGTTCCCTTACAGCTGAAAATTGCTATCTTTAACGTGGCAGTTTACCTTCTGTTAAACCAAAAGATTTTTTTTGTTGTTACCTGTAGATTTATTCAGGGAAGAAAACTATTTTTTTAATCTCCTTAGTTTTTATATGCTTATTTATCTTGTAGTGAAATACAGTACCTAAAGTCCCTACCACTGCTCCTTCTTATGAAGGCTTATATCTATCCTTGTTATTAAACAACAAATAACCAAACATGCCTTGAGGACTGTGGTGGTTTGACCCTGACTGGATGCCAAGTGCCCACCAAAGCCGCTCTATCACTCCCCTTCTCAACTGGACAGGGGAGAGAAAATGTAACAAAAAAGCTCGTGGGTCGAGATAAGGACAGGGAGATCACTCAGCAATTACTGTCACAGGCAAAACAGACTTGACTTGGGGAAAATCAGTTCAATTTATTACCAATCAAAACTGAGTAGGAGAGAGGAGCGAGAACATGTATAGAGTAATGAGAAATAAACCTTAAAACACCTTCCCCCCACCCCTCCCTTCTTCCCAGGCTCAACTTCACTCCCAATTTTCTCTGCCTCCTTCCCCTGAGCAGCACAGGGGGATGGGGAATGGGGGTTGTGGTCAGTTCATCACTCATCGTCTCTGCTGCTCCTTCCTCCTCAGGGGAGGACTCCTCACACTCTTCCCCTGCTCCAGCGTGGGGTCCCTCCCAGAGGAGACAGTCCTCCACAAACTACTCCAACGTGGGTCCTTCCCACGGGGTGCAGCCCTTCAGGAGCAGACTGCTCCAGCATGGGTCCCCCATGGGGTCACAAGTCCTGCCAGCAAACCTGCTCCAGCCTGGGATCCTCTCTCCATGGGACCTGCCACGAGCCTGCTCCAGTGCGGGCTTCCCACAGGGTCTCAGCCTCCTTTGGGCACATCCCCCTGCTCCTGTGTGGGGTCCTCCCCAGGCTGCAGGTGGGTATCTGCTCCACCGTTCACCTCCATGGGCTGCAGGGGCACAGCTGCCTCACCATGGGCTGCACCAGGGGCTGCAGGGGAATCTCTGCTCCAGTGCCTGCAGCACCTCCTCCCCTCCTTCTTCACTGACCTTGGTGTCTACAGAGTCCTTCCTCTCACATGTTCTCACTCCTCCCTCCAGCTGCAGTTTGTGTCAGGTTGTTTGGTTTTTCCCCCCCCTTCTTAAACATGTTATCCCAGAGGTGCTACCACCATTGCTGACTGGCTCGGCCTTGGCCAGCAGCAGGTCCGTCTTGGAGCTGGCTGGCATTGGCTCTATCAGACATGGGGGAAGCTTCTAGGAGCTTCTCACAGAAGCCACCCCTGTAGCCCCCCTGCTACCAAAACCTTGCCACGCAAACCCAATACAGAGAAACTCAACAGGAGGCTCTGAATGCAGAGGCACACAACAGCAAAAGGCAGAACACTGCAGCCTGAACAAGGTAGCCACCTCCTTGCTGCCCAGCTCACTCAACACTACAAGAGTAGTTCAAACAAGATCGTGGGGAATAGTATGTCCTGGAATAGCACATTTCTAGCAAGAAAGAACATAATATTTAACTATGATATTTGAGGATTATTATATGCTTTTACTTTTTTAAAGCATTCTTTTCCACAAAGACAAGAACCTTCATTTTATTCCAAAATTAAGCCAATTAAATCAGGTGTATCAAAGGTTAAAACAAACTGCTTCATATAACACAACACCGTGCACTATATAGGTCTCAAATTCTCCGTTAGTAAGTTTAAAAATGACAGGTCCTCACAAACTTTCTAGCCATCCTAGAACACACTGGTTCCCTCTCTTCCTTGGTACAAGTTTACCTCCAGTTCTCTAGAAAATCCTTCACCGAAAGGGAGGGGGAAAGCCCTGAGTCTTTTAGCAGGTGCCTAGAGTCCAAGAGTTGTATCTCATCTCCAGTTTGTCCTTGCTAGTTGCAACACAGACTATTTATCAGTCAGATACAAAAATTGGGCTTCCTTCTTGAGGTGTTCACTTGTCCAGATAACTACATTTCAGTTTCAAATCCCAGGCAACTGAATTATCCTATGGGATTCAGGGATCTGTATGCCCATTAACAGAATACACTGGTCTCTGTTTTAGCTAACTAATTATGTGTTAACACAAGTGAAAATGCACCTAGGAAATTCAGCTTGACTGACTTAGCTAATTACAGGCTTCCACTTGAAGCAGGGCCAAGTCTACCTTTAGCTTCTGCTTGCTGCTTAAGAGAGACGATACAGACACACAGACACGCCACAGTCTGACACCACCACCACAGTTCAGATGAAGCCTACTTTGAAGCAGTGGAGCTTTGCTTCAGGGTAAATGTTCGGGATGCTTTGCAGACAGCATTTAACTGAGCTGTCTCTGTCTGCTGCTGTTGGACTTCTGTAAACAGAAGTTAAAGTAATAACAGCAAGGGGGTGCAGCTAAACCTAAAAGGACACCACCACCACCCCTCCACCCCCCCCACCCCGGTAAAAAACTAAGCATGTCTAATTATTCAGTTACCAGCATAAAAACTAAAATAATGGGTACTTCTTTCCACAGCTATCCTTCATTTGAACCTCCAAATGCTGCCGTTCCAGAGAAACCTGAAGTCTTCATGGTACATTTCGTACAAGACTGTATTTTTGCTGGTCATGTCAGAAAGCATGCCTAAGAACTGCAACAACAGCATTCCAATAGCAATAGTTACCCAGATAGCAACCACAGGCTCATCTATGATTAAAGTTGCACACAGGCTATCATTAAAAACAAAACAACCCAAAACATTCAACTGTAAGCTCAGTGTTAGTGCTATACATTTACAGGAAATAAAGAACCATTCTAATTGCAGTTCTCACTCTGACTTCCCAGATGAATGAGGGCAACTGTACATTGCCTTGGAAATCAGGACAAGTCTTAGATGAAATGGTAGTAGGCTTGAAGAGAGGTTTAACAATTGTTAAAGATTAGGAAATCCACTTATGCTAGTTATTAAAAGACACCCCAGCCCGATTTTTTTTTTGTAGGAATAAGAAATGTACTGTTCTCCTTACAAACACCTGCTTACTGAACACAGCACCACATGACATGACAGCAGAGAAAAATAACTGTACAAGAATTCAGTCCAAGCTTTTCACAGTATCCAGTCAAGATTAACATCCAAAACATGTTTTGTTGCAGCCTATAGAAAGATAATTTCTCCTGCAAAACAGCTAGCAATTCTGAACACACTGCTTACACTACTGTTCAATTTCTCCTGAAGCTTTAACATACTAAATATATTAATAAATCTGATCATACTCACCTAGTCAATAAATTGCAGCAGAGGACAGACATCCTTAAGGCCAGTGAGATTTAAGATACCAAATTGTTTCATTGCTTAACTGCGGCCCAAAGAGAGGGTTGAGTTGAGCCAGAATCGCAATCAGCCAACTGCAAGACAACCCCCCCCAACCCAAAAGAGAGAACATCAGCCAAATTACAAACCTTATGACAATGGAAAGGCTTGTCCAGAGCACAAGTACTATCAGAGAAGAAAAGACAATTTTCAGGAAGGTTGAGCATCAAATAAAAATCTTACTCAAGCTCATACATGAAGACCAGATACCAGCAACAAAGACATGTTCCAAATCATTCCACAACTGAAACAGTAAGTTGTCCTGTTCAATTTAAAGCAACACAAAACCACTTGACACCATTTCTCTTGTCCTCTTCCTTTGACAGGAAAGTGTCTTGAGGCGTATGAAACTCAGGTATTTGTGGGCTCAGAAGATAGACACATAAGAGACAGACCTTTTCTCTGTGCCTTTGAAGCATCCTTTAAACAAAAACCTCAGAGAAACATACTTTCTCTCATTTGCTCTTATTTTCAGTGTATGACAACCTCCCCTGGCAGACATGGTATATTTTTCATCCGAGATTGAACAAAAGTGAATTTAAACCTGGCACAGAAGTCAAGAAACAGGGACCTGAAGCAAAAGGGTGCACTGCTACAGGAATACACACACAAAAAAATGTTAAAACCCACAACAACAAAACCAATATGACAATAAACCCCAGATCATCAGCAACAGCAGCCTTGTCATCAGAGCAGTTCACAAACCGGCACTGCAGAAGCCATAGCCAGAACCGAGAACAAGAGGAATGTAGTTTGTGGAAAATATCCAGGAAAGCTAAACAGAAATAAATATTCCACTGTTAAAAGATGTATTTACTTTGTAAATATTACAAGATTCAGGAAAAGCAATGGATGCTTCCATGGATTTAAATCTATGTTA